GCTCCAAATGAAAAAGCTCGTGAGTGTAGAGAGCTTCCATCAGATTGAAATCCACTTCACTGAGGTCAAATGAACAATTGAGGCTTCATTATAAAATAACTGCAATGAAAATATGGCAGCATTTACTAATTTTGTTGCTGATTCCAGTTTACTGCTGTTTGACTGTGGGAAGACAGTGGTGTTGTCACTGAATATCATTGATTCAAAGGCCCATACTAACACCCTGGGGACGTGGATTCATTTTCCAACGTGGCCAGTGGTGAAATGTTAAATTCAGTTGATTAAAACTTATTTGGCATTTGAAGTTCATCTCATTAATAGTGTCCTGAAATTATCACCTCACTTTAAAACTTAATTCCTTTTGCCCAATGCAGGACAATGGGCAGCATAACTCCATCACTGGCTCTGGTCCATCACAATCTTTTTTTGCTTCCATCCAGGTGGCATCCCACTCTGGGAAGCCCTCCTTAAATATACCTCATTGCTTCTTCTTGGGCTAGCTAGCTCCCATCTTCTTCCTCTTTTCTGTCAGTGCCCATTAAACCTCTACTCTGGTGGGGCGTATGTTTGGGAGGTGAAAGACATGTCCTGCCAGCATTAGTTGTGCTTCTGTTACAATGTCCCTCATGCTCGTTTGATATTTCCTCTGTAGCATTTTTTTGTTGGCGATGCTGTATCTCTGTGTGCTATCAAAGGCCTTATGTAGGCTGGACTGGTGAAAGACATTGAGCTTATCTGACACCTTTGCTGTCCTCTTCCATGTCACACTGGTATAGATTGTGAAACTGTCATCAGTTGTTGCAAATCCCCATCAGGTCCATGAATGTCCTTTGGAAAAAGAAATCTGCTGTCCTTTCCCTGTCTGACCTACCTTTGACTCAAGAGCATCCTCACAACTTCTTCGCTGGGCCACAATCCCAGAACTCCCTTTCAAACAGCAATGTGTGAGTCCCTACATCTCAAGGACTGCAGCTCACCATCACCTCCTCTGGGGCAGTTAGGGTCGGGCAATAAATGTTGGCCTAGCCAGCAACATACACAACCCATGAATGAATAAAGAACCAGTGAAATGCAGTTGACTCTAAACTACCCCATGAAATGGCCTAGCAAACCACTCAGTTCAAGCGTATTCAGAGATGAGCACCGAATGCAAAAAATGCCAGCAATATCTCAATCCCATGAATGAATACAAGAAAATATTCCAGTCTTAACATTGTCTGCTACAATCCTCAGCATTATTCAGACCATCCTTCAGAAAGATGTACAATACTTTGAATTATTGGTACCATATGATAAAACTGCCATTCTTAAAACAAAATTAAAATAAGTTAAGGGCAGGTAACCCTAATTGCTCCCAATGCTACTGTCTTCTTCTGCATCTTTTTTTTTTCCCTATTACTGCAGCCCTGACTTTCAATACCTCTCTCCTCATCACAAAGTGAAATGTGAAAGTTGTTAGTGGGTCTCCCCAGAGATCAGTCTATACTTGGAAATCAGATAGGCCAGTGGGTAATTTGTAAAGGATCCTGCCTGAGCTCCCTCCATTTATTCTTGTAAGAAAAATCACTTTTATCCAACTGACGTTTCAATATATTACTGTGCCTCAGCAATCTTGAGCTATCTGTTTGCTATATTCATATACCCTTCTTTTCCCTCTTAAGGGAATAGTGGGGAACCATCAAACTGATTGTCAATCTGTTTGAACCAGTCATGGATACTCCTTTAACTAACACAGAAAATGCAAGAGAAAATCTGCAGGTCAGGCAGATCTGTGGGGAGAGAGAGATAGAGAGAGCTAATGATTTGAGTCTAGTATGACTCTTCTTCAGATCTAGCTCTGCCTGCTGAGTTTTTCCAATAGTCTCTGCGTTTGATTCAGATTTCTAGCATCCACAGTATTTTGCTTTTATTTGAATGGATAGTCCTTCTCTGGGCATCGGCCTGGAGTGAGATTTGAACCTGGATCTTGTCGTCCAAAGGTAAGAAGACTATCTACTGAGGTACAAGACCTCGTAGAATATTTAGGGTCTTCTGAACGTAGTTCTGTGAGCCTGAACTCCAAGTAGAGCACCATGACTACAATAAAAGTAAGCCAGACCATGGGCTATAGTTTGCAGAAATTTGCTGAGACGTGCTCTGACTGAATGCAGCTGCTTTCCAAGTGTAAGATTCCTGAATTATTTTTGTTCTGTACAAATACATTCAAGCATGATAAGCAATTTTAAAATAATAAATATAGATAATTCATCTTTAATACAAACTTAACTAAAACCCTATATCTTGTAGTTTGCCTTTTAATCTGTATATTAAGTTGTTCAGGAAATGTCTCAACGTGCCTGAAATGTCAGTGTGTTTATGATCACTATTACTTTGAATCCTACCCTGCTATCTAAAAGCAATTCCCAGATACACATAATGCTATTTCTATCAAATGCTTGCATAGCATAAATGGAACTCAGAAACTTTTGTGTGCTTATTGTTGGAACTTCGCCACTGCAACTTTTGTTTGCTTTGATTCAGAAGGTGAGCACAGGCCAGTAATGTTAAATTCACATTGCTGTCCTGGATTTGGGACAACTACTGGCAGGCTGCACCAGAATGTCAAGCCAACAGTGATTGTGTTCGGTGGCTGTTCTCTTTCATGGATCCAGGAGAAATTAGCAACTGTATCTGAAACCATTGTGCCAAGAAATGTTAATATCAATCAGTGATCAGACTTAGCTTTAAGTGACCAAAATCTCCACCACATTTCAATCACTGGATGTTCTCTGCAGAATCTCGTATTTGCTCTGTTACTGCTCAGTGTGTTGACATTTGAATTTCAGGAGATATTTCATGATATTGCTGAAAGGAGAGATATGTTGCTGAAGCTTTTTGCCTTACACTCTCTTCAAGACATACAGAAGTGCCAATTAATCAGCACCCTTTCATCCTGTAGTGTAAATTGTTATAATTGTTTGAAATTTAGTATTCTTGTCTTTGTCCTGATGAGTGTAAGACTAAAAGCTTTGACAACTTGTCCCTCCTTTCCAGCACTGTTCAAGCACTGTATTACATTGTGCACAGTTTACTATATTAAAGGCTATGTATAAATGCAAGTTGTTGTTGATGGAGAAAAAATGAATTCTATGATTAGAAAGTAAACTTTGTCTAACATCCTTATCGGGATGAAGCCAATATAATTATCAATGTATATATCATCCAAACAAATTATTTTAAATGGAAATTTCTGAACCATGTGTAATATCCCAAAGTTGCATTGTAGAATTAATCCTTTGGCATCCCTCAGACAAAAGAATTAACTTTTCAGTTAAAAACAAACATGAAAAGTTAAGTTTCAATTTGTACTAAAGGATAAAAATTATCTGTTGGAAACAGAACAAAATATTTTTCTGTGTTTAGTGACTTGAAGCATATTTCCATGCCTAAAACGATTGGTAGCTTTAGCCATGGCAACAGTGTAGAATACTGTTTACCCAGATGAATCAACATCATAAAGCAAATGCCTATGAGTTCTGGTATATATTTAATGATGTTTTCAGTTTGCATTTTAAAAACAATACTTTCAAGTTGTCTGATAGGGCACTGAGTTAACCCAATTACCAGCTAAGTAGCACTGACCAAGAACATCCCAGTTTCAATCCCACTTTAACATTGAGTTTGTGATCTGTTAGTGCCATCAGCTTAGGTTGTTCTATGGTGCCCCATCTTATGAACACTCATAGTTATAAATGAGATCCCATATTACTCTTAATTTTAAAGTTCCAACGTGTAATAGTTTGCTCATAATTACAAACTGATATTTTATAGTATACGGTATTGTGCTCCAACTTGCGCACAAATTAATTTATGAACGTAGTCAGGAATCCCATTCTTAACCTGAAGACCTCCTTTCTGTGAATGCTGTTATTGGAAGGCCTCTGTATGGATATCAGATTAGGAGGGGACTGGTTGGTTGAGCGGCAATAAAACCTGAGATTGAGGAATCTGTCATCAACACTTTGTTGCCCTGGGTGAGGGATGGGAGCGAAATTGATGCCAATGAAACTCTGGGAAGAAATTGTGACAATGCTGTCACTTTAACAGTTTATTTTGTTCTGGTTATTTTTTGAAGAGAGGTTGTAAGGCAGAACTAACAAGCTGGTTCCTGTATACCAGTTGAGTAAACAGCTTGGGAGGTCTTGGGTTTGTTTTTAATGGCCTAAATAGCCAGCTCTCACAGATCCTGATTTCTGAGTTTGGTTATTTCAGTAACATTAGAAGCTATTGGGATCTCAACAGAGTTGGAAGCTTCTATGAATGTCTCCTAGCTACTACTCTCTCTGAATTTTCTCTTGATGTTTTTTTCCCTCCTTGATTGGAGAACTGCATGTGAGAATCTCTGTCTGAATAGTCCTTTATTGCCAAGGGCTGTGTTTATAGGCTGTTACTATACTGGAACAGTTAATTAGTAATACTTACTGTATGTATTCTTCTGTTACGTTTTTCTATTAGAGTTGTTATTCTAAATTCCTCTTTCTTTTTGATGTATTTTTTAACTACAGTATTTAAATAAATTGTGTTTTGGTTAATGTTGAGTAGTCTTGACCAGTCACATTGCATCTGGACAAACACTTTCCATTTGCCTTTAAAAAAGAAAAAGTTAGGGTCCAGGCTACCTTAAAATATTTTGAGGGTGTCTGATCTAATCGACAACAGAAATCAACACTATTTTGCAGGAAAAGAGGGGAGAAAACTGGCAAAATAATTGAAACTTTGTTGTTAAAAATGTATTTTTCATCTTTGTTAATAATTCTGAATTATACAGTAAAAGATCCAAATGTTTTGATTTATCTCTACTCTTTATCCATTGAACTGCAATTAAATTGGTTTGTGGCTCAGTGTCAAATATTGTCTGATGACATCAACCCGTGAAGTGACTTGGTGCATTTTATTATGTTAAAAGTGTCATTAAATGCAAGTGGTTGTTGTTGATATTACCCTCCGTTCTTTCTCTTCAGGTGTAACCACGGTGCTGACAATGACAACATTGAGCATTAGTGCACGGAACTCTCTGCCAAAAGTAGCTTACGCCACTGCGATGGACTGGTTCATCGCTGTGTGTTACGCATTTGTCTTTTCTGCTCTGATTGAATTTGCAACAGTAAATTACTTCACCAAACGAAGCTGGGCATGGGATGGGAAAAAAGCATATGAAGCTTTTCAATCTAAGGTAGGAATTTTCAATCTGTTATTTACACAGTACTTGAATATCACACACAGGCTAGGGTCTGGAGGATTAGTATTGAGCAAGAGAGTGGGCTCCAGGCAGGACAGGGAGAGATTGCCCAGTCTCGGTACATGAGCAATCAAAACAATAAGGATGTTATGGCTAAAGCATTAAAATCCCTACGGTACAGATAAAGGCCATTTAGCCTACTGATCTTCCAAAGAGCCTCGCATGCAGACCCACCACATCCCCATAACCCCCACATTCACCACAGTCAATCCACTTAGCCTGCACATCCATGGACACACAGGGCAATTTAGCATGGCCAATATACCTAACTTGCACATCTTTGGACTGTGGGAGAAATGAAGCACCTGGAGGAAACACATGTCGACACAGAGAGAACATGCAAACTCCACACAGACAGTCACCCGAGGGTGGAATCAAACCTGGGTCCCTAGTGCTATGAGGCAGCAGTGTTAACCTAAGAGCCACCGTGTCACCCTATTGATGAGAGAACTGCAAAGGCAAAAAGAGAGATATAGCAACTTAAGGTGAATTTTGTTTTGTTCTTAGCTTATCCACAGCTTGCAGGCTGGCTGCAAATATTGGCCTTAGATTGCCTTGTGCATCGTGAGTGCGGAGCCACCTCATTTCCTGGGTCTGCAAATCTGACCCAGGAAAGGTGGCCAAGAGGTTGGCTTTGCATTCTGGATGATGGGCTATACTGGGAAGAAGGATGTGTGACCCCAGATGAGAACAAAAGCTGTTGGTGGGGTTGTGTGGAAGATCTGAGATGAGGTTTCATAAAAACGTAACTACATCCCTCAAAACTTTCTTCCTCATACCTCCACCCTCCTACACACTCCCCATGGTGTATCCATGCCAACCCATAGCCCCACATGATCCATGCTGCCCTCCAATGTGTTTTTATCGGGTCCTATGCCAACTTAGTGCCACTTCATACCAACACATGACCACCACCCTTTTCCCTTCTACCTATCATGACAGCTTACACAGTTCTATGGGCATACCTCAGTAACCCGGGCAGAGACGAGACAAAATGAAGTTCTATGTGTCTATTGCAGACTTCATTATATTGAAAAACATCATTCGTAAAATTTACATTTACATTCCTTCAACTAAATAAACCCTACCAACAAGAATATATTAATTCATGCACACAGTTGCTTAAAATAAGCATTAGAATTCCCAATCTTACACTGAAAAGTCTATAATCACTTATAGCTGCTCATAACACTGAAATATTGCAGGCATCTGACTGTGATAGTGAATGGTTGTGAAATTAGTCATGCATCAATAATTCAGTTTGAAAACACTCAGGCTAATATCAATAAACACCAGTGAACAACAGTGAACAATCCATTTTAATTGAGTCTTTAAAAGCAATTTTCAATATGTCATTGAGATAATGCAGTCAATTATTTCTTAAAGTAGCAGTGATGCTCTCCATTATGGCAAAAATCAAGGCTTTAAGTGGTGGAAGTATAGCAGCATCTGAGAAAGAACTGCACTTTTTTCCCCTCTGACAGTTTTTATGCTAAAAAAGATAAACCTATTGACAAAACAATTTCTGAAGAAGAGTCTAGGCCCGAAACGTCAGCCTTCCTGCTCCTCTGATGCTGCTTGGCCTGCTGTGTTCATCCAGCTCTACACCTTGTTATGACAAAACAATTATCTACTTTAGGAAAGAAGTTGCCTGATATGTGGGATAACAAGGTGTAGAGCTGGATGAACACAGCAGGCCAAGCAGCATCAGAGGAGCAGGAAAGCTGATGTTTCGAGTCTAGAACCTTCTTCAGAAAATGCCTGATATGTACTGTCTTTGCTCATTTTAGGGCAGCACAGTGGCTCAGTAGTTAGCACTGCTGCCTCACAGCGCCAGGGAACTGGGTTCAATTCCACCCTCGGGTGACTGTCTGTGTGGAGTTTGCACATTCTCCCTGTGTCTGCGTCAGTTTCCTCCAGGTGCTCTGGTTTCCTCCACAGTCCAATGATGTGCAGGCTAGGTGGATTGGCCATGCTAAATTACCCATAGTGTTCAGGGATGTGTAGATTCAGTGGGTGATGGGTCTGGATGGGATGCTCTGAGAGTTGGTGTGGACTTGTTGGGGCAATGGGCCTGTTTCCACACTGTAGGGATTCTATGATGATGACATTCCAAAAGTTCTTCACAGCCAATAGAGTACTTTTTAAATGAATTCACCGTTGTAACGTAGGCAAATACAGCAGCTAATTGCACACAACAAGGATCACAAACTAAATGAGATAAATGAACAATGAATATGTTTTCATAATGTTAGTTCAAGGATAACTGTGCAATTTATCCCTCAAGACATTCATATCAATCTCGTTATGGAGATTTTGCACAGTGCTTTGTACAGTGAGGGTTATTAATTTATGGTTACCACCAACTGAGGTTCATTCCAAATGTAGCAAGAGTTTGGAAGAAATATAATTTGCCCCAGCATGGAATTCTCACTTCTTGTTGAGTAAAATATCTCAGTTGGAAAGTGAAGTTCTGATGCTTTCAGTTATCGCTGCAATTTGTTGCTTACTCTTGCAAAAAAAGACAAGCTATTGTTATTGCTTCATCATTTGGAGAATGCAATTCTTCCTAAGGGTTTAAATCATGAAGAACTCATAAATCACAAAAAAAATCGCGTACACGTTCTATGGATGATACAGAAGGCAAATAGAATGTTAGTCTTTATTTGAAACAGAATGGCATATAAAAATAGGGAGGACTTGCTAAAACTATACAAGACACTAGTTAGGCTACACCTAGAAGATTGAATTTTTTTGGTCCCCTTATGGAAGGAAAGATAAACTGGCATTGGAGGCAATCCAGTAAAGGTTCACTCGGTTGATCCTGGCTATGGACTTTTTTTTATATAAAGGGAGATTGATTAGGTTGTATTATATTTCTTGGAGTTTAGAAGAATGAAGAATTGAAACATATAAGATTGCTAGGGGTTTTGACAGGATAGATGCAGAAAGATTGTTTCCCCTCGTGGGAGTATCTAAGGGTTCAATCTCAGAGTAAGGAGTTGCCCAATTAAGACATGAGATGAGGAGGAATTTCTTCTCTGAAAGGACAGTTTACCAAGGAGGACTGTACAGACTAGGTTGTTAAGTATAAGGACCACTACATGTTCCTGTGGTCCTGGCCTGGCCGTGAAATGGAAGGAAACTTGCTGATGACTCTCAAGTGGCTTCAGCAGAAACAGTTATGTATTGCATATATATAGCCATTAGGAAGGAGATGGCCATGTATGTTAATACTAAATTGGATCAGAAATACCTCTCTACAGAGAACTGTAACTTAAAAATATGACGTAGGGCAAAAAAAATTGTTTCAGTGCCATTTCTAACACTTGTGGAAAATGCAATTATAAATTTGAGTTACTGATAGAAATGAAGTCAATTTGAAGATAATGTAGCTGCTAAATTTAATTAAACATATCACATCCTTCTTGTGGTTGCATTTAACTACTATAGATTTATTGCATGATCAGCTAAAGTACCTCTTTTATACATAAAACTTGATCAGTATAAATGAGGGAGGCATTCGCTTAATCTTCCTGATAATGAAGCAGACAAAAGTTCAAAACAAAATAATTTTTTAAAGAAAGGAAACAGCCATCAGGCCCGATCAATAAACCAAATTTTATAAGGAGTTCATTCTATTTTCTGATCCGCATTTGTGCCTCACAAATGCTAGACCATGATCATTTCCAGCGAGAGAGAACCGAACTACTATCTCTTGACATTCAGTCGCATTATCGCCATCTGAACACGCATTATCAACATCCTGGGGGTTACCATTCACTAGAAATTGAAATGGGCCTGCTTACAATATTTATATTGCAAGAGCAGGTCAGAGGCCAGAAATTCTGTGGCAACTAACTCAGGTCTTGTATCTCCAGTGCTTGTCCAACAGTTACAAGGAACAAGCCAGGAGTATGATGGAATGCTCTCCATTTGCCTGGAGGTATGCAGCTTCAACAACACTGAAGAAGCTCAATACCATCCAGGACCAAGCAGGCCACATCACTGGAACCACACTCATCCACACTCATACCCTTCAATACTGAGGCGCAGAAGCAGCAGTGTGTATTACCTACGAGATTGATACGTATTATCAATCACTGCAGTGATTGACCAAGCCTCTTTCAACAGCTCCTTCCAACCTCCAACTTCTACAATCTATCAGGGCAAGAGCAGCAGGTACATGGGAACATCACCACCTGCAAGTTCCCTTCAAGTTATATACCATCCTGACTTGGAACTATATTGCTATTCCTTTACAGTAACTGGTTCAGAAGCTTTTAAATCCTTCCCTATCAACACTGCGTGTCCCACAAACTCCAAGAACTGCAGTTGTTCAAGAAGGCAATGTACTTTTCCAATGTGATTAAGAATGGACAATAAATGCCATCCTAGCTAGTGATGTCTACATCTCATGAACATTTTTTTTAATAAAAGAAAGTCTTCAGTTTCTCCCCACTTGTGAAAGAATCTAATTTAGTGTCTGTTTAATTGACATTTCTTTCTAATTCTAATGCATAACTTCTATACACTTTAAACTAAAAACTGAACTTGCCTTCTTGTTCCCAACAATTTAAATTTACTTTAAATTTCTTTTCACAAGATCAGAAATTTTTTTTGATCCATCTTTCATTCCAGACAGATTTGGCTAGCTCTCAGTTATATTTCAGGTTTAAAGTCATAGACTCATACAGCATAGAAACAAGCTCTTCAGCCCATCATGCCTGTGCTGACCAACAACCACTAACCTGCACTAATTCAATTTACTGCACTTTTAGAGTCAGAGAGAGTTTCTGTGGTGCTGCCCATTAAAAGAAGCAGTAGTAATGATTGGCCTGTTAGAGGTTAGGAACTTTAAATTGATGTTTTCAATGTTATTGTACAACCTCTGATGCACCCATCAAATTAATTGCTTTGCTCTTTTAACAGGG